ACCTTCGTCCCCTCTCTCCCCTCCCCCTCCCTCTCCTCCTCCTCGTCCTCGTCCTCCTCCTCCTCCCCGTCTCTCCCCGATCCCTCGTCGTCGGATCGTGGTTTTGCGGCCGATTCGAGCGGCCGTGCCAGGAAGCAAGTGACGGTAACCAGCGGGGCTGAGCTCACGGACGGAGGTGACACGAGCGGAAAACGCGCTCCCTCTCCCTCTCCCTCCTCCCCCTCTCCCTCTTCCTTCCCCGCCTCGGATAAAAAGCTGAGCGGAGTCGGCGCGGGAGATGTTGGTGTTCGAGGAGTGGAGGCATGCAACAACCTCAGCAGCAACTGCAACGACAACAACAGCAACTGCAACGGCAGCAAGAAAAACGACAACAACGACAACGACAGCAACAGCAGGAGGACTGTGAAGGATCTTGCTGACCAGTCGGACATTACTGACCCGCTTTGCTCCCCCCGGAGTACTACTGACTGCTGTTCCAGCGACACTGGTTCTTCTACTGCTGCAACTACTGCATCTACTACTGCTGCTGCTGCTGCAACTACTACTGCTGCTGCAGCTACTACTGCTGCTGCTGCTTCAAATGGTAGCAAGAGAGCCATCACCAACGGAGATTCGTCGGTGGTTGATGTGGCAGGGGGTAGTGCGGAGTGCGGGGATGTGGAGAGGCGGGGTCTGTCTCTCCAGGGAGTTTCTGTGTACACCGCGAGCACCCACCCCCGACACCAGGACGTTTCTCCTACAACTGGAGCTGAGATGCAGCAACAGCAACAGCAACAGCAACAGCAACAACAGCAACAGCAACAGCAGCAGCAACAAACGATGACATTTTCACCGGCCATAACCTTGTCGTCAACGACAGTGGCATCTTCCCCCCCTGTCGCCCCGCCCTCCTCCTCCTCCTCCTCCTCCACCTCCTCCCCCTCTTCCTCTCCCTCCTCCTCCCCTCCCTCCCCATCCCTCTCCTCCAAGAGGCAGTACGCGGAGGAAGAGGACGCCCGCCACCACCACCACCAACAACAACAACAGATTCAGTCAAAGAAACAACGCCACTCTTCCTCCTCCTCCCCCTCCCCTTCCTCCTCATCTTCAACAACACTTACCCCCTCCTCCTCCTCCTCCTCCTCCTCGTCCTCCTCATCCTTCTCCTCAT